GAAGATCCTCTGGAAGCCACACCCACTGATTGGGAGTTGCCGCCAGTTTGGAGTCAAGTGTTTCGTGTTAGAGTAGCGAAACCACACCCACCACAGCAACTGGAGTGGACAGAAAATGGTATTAAATATATTTTATAGTTATATATTTTAATTTTTAACCTTTTCTCCGTTAGAAGTTGAAATGACGTCAGTTCCTCTTTCCCCTTCTCCTGTATCCCCCCAGACCACGGCCAGCACTAGAAGCACCTCCCCCCTACTAATGGAGGATCCTTTCTCTTGGAATGATACTAAACCACACCCACTTAAGAAGAGTAACTCGAGAAGGTAATGGAATTGTTTGCCCACACCCACTTATTTACTTTGTAGATATTTAATGGAAAAGTTTCATTCACCAGTTCAAGCTAAGTAGCACTCTAATATCTATGGTAGCACCCACAAATGACACCAATTTATAAACAACTATTAAAAAAATTTTATATTGTTCAGTGTACACTAGTAAAATGATTATATATGTCTACCAGGCCTTATCTTGACAAGGGGACTCTATTGGTATCACTAGTGTGAATCAAAACCTTGTCTAAAAGCAAAGCAAAAATGCTGTTTTGTTCCGCTACTTTTGTTTTTTGGTCTTTTAACTGGAGTACTGTAGCCAAATAGAACTGAATTCCCAATTCCATGCCCATTACATTAAATTTATTATCTGAACTCATCACTACTCTGATCTCTGCTTCTTGTGTAAAAGCTGTAACAGGTACGACAGTGCACTGTTTGTATAAGCAGTATTTTGAATATTACAATTAAATCATGAAAAACCATGCACAATGATTATAACAGCATTTCATTGATCTAGTTTATTTTTGCCCTATTAGGTACATAAAGTTTTGCAAATTTTCGAAAAATAAAATAGAACAAATTATTGGACCATAAAACATAATGTAAAAATAATCAATGGTACAGTGGTATACGAATTATGGCCCTAGTGCAAGGTCAGAAAGTTTATACTAGTTCAATGGGATCACATGAGCCATTTTATTAAGTAATTGATATGCACTGAAATGGCTGTTAAAATATATATTTTACTGGATGGATGAAATTGTGCACCTTACAATATAAACATACCTTTAATTAAGCAAAAGAAAAAAATCGCCAAAATAGGAAAAGTTCATTATACAAAGAATATCATTTAACATAAATTTCATATTCTCCAACAGGAACATCTTCATCGTGAGTTCCTTCATCACAGCATATCCTCATCTCAATATTATCAGTAGTAGAGTGAGTAAAAGATCTATAGAACCAAGGAATAAGAGTATGTTGACAACAATTAATCTCAACACTACCACAACCTTCACCATCCCATAATGGATCAGAATAAAATTGAGAATGCAATGGAAATGTAGGACCTTCATAACCTGCTTCACAGTAATAGTCCCGACCAACAAATGATGGAGCAGGTCTTACACCAGTAGTACCACAAGGACAATGATTAGCAGATCCATTGCCAGTAGCACCACTAATAAATGTCCAGATATGTTTCCTTGGACTACCATAAGTTAGACTAATACCATCAATGTATGCTGAGTTTATACCAGTAGTACCCCTGCACTTTGACGTCTAATAACTCCATCTGGGAATCCAGCTTGATATCCAATCACTTTACCACATACTTGAGAGTATTGTATATCTTTTGATGGAAATGTTATGCCAACACAGCCACCTTTACGAGCTGGTCTACCACAAGCACGAACTCCATCTTCTAAATATGTTCTGAACTGAGTAGGACATTTCTCATTAGGATCAGTCATATTCAGACTAGCTATTCTTCTCCAGCCTCCTCTTTCACCACACAGAGTCTCCATGTGACAGTATACACGTCGAGTGTCACCATTAACATCAGCTAGATTATAATAACCCGAGGAGCTGTTAGGCCACTTACTGAGGATAGCATCACATGAGGAGAGGAGAGGAGAGTAAAGTACTACTTCATCATCTATAGTTGCATTAGCACGTGTTGCTAACAATTGAGATAACTTCATTACACCAGATGAGAGGGCAGATACTTCTGATTGAAGTGACTCTATTTTGCGATTCAATAGATTCCTTTCTTCTTTATCACATGACTTATCCTTATAATCTTTTGCCAGTTCCTTTACTAATGCTAATTGAAGAAGACCAGTTAGTCCTTCACTAGTAGCACCATCTGATGAACAGGATGATCCTTTAAGCTGATCACTGATATTAGTCAGTGAATTCTCAATGAAAGACAAAGTAGCAGGATTAACACAAGTACCATCAAGTGCAGCAGATAATGAATAAGAGGTCATACAAAGAACCAATAGAATAGAATACATCTTCAACTGAATGGACTGGAGTGAGCATCCCAAAGCAGGTTCTTTTATATTCTTAATAGTTGTTTATGAATTGGTGGGTTGAATTAGATGAATGTTTGATGTGTCCAGCCTACTGTCTGCCTCTTTCTCCTCATCTCCTCCTCTAGTCATTGATAGAACACAGCCTAATACACCCTATTGTTACTTGATTTCTCTTTAGCATTGAGCCTTTATCATAGAACCATTCATATAGCTAAGTTGGTAATAATTCTATGATAAGGTTCAAAAGAAATCAAGTAAAAACAAGAGGGTGTATTAGGCTGTGTTCTATCAATGACTAGAGGAGGAGATGAAGAGAAAGAGCAGAAGGCAGGCCTTTAACATTCATCCCATTCAAGTTAAGTAGCACCCACCAATTGTCATCAATTTATAAACAACACCAAGTGATTTTGATTATTGTTCAGTGTATACTAACAAAATGATCATGTGTACCAGGCCTTATCTTGACAAGGGGACTACTAGCATTGCTTAAAACCTTGCCTAAAAGAAAAGCAAAAATACTGTTTTGTTTGGCTTTTTTAAATAATTTTTATCATCAAGTTCAGCATGGTCTCTGGTTAATGCTGCAAAACTAATTGGAATGAACGTTCAATTAAAAAAAAATTCTTGGTCTTTAAACTGCAGTATTGTAGCCAAATAGAATTAAATTACTGACCTTCCCATTTCCATGCCCATAACATTAAATTTATTATCTGAACTCATCACTACTCTGATCTCTGCTTCTTGTGTAAAAGCTGTAACAGGTAGGACAGTGCACTGTTTGTAAAAGCAGTATTTTGAATATTACAATTAAATCATGAAAAACCATGCATGATGATTATAACAACATTTCAATGATCTAGTTTATTTTTGTCCTGTTAGATACATAAAGTTTTGCAAATTTTCAACAAATAAAATTAGAACAAATCATTGGGCCATAAAACATTATTTAAAGCTAACAGTGGTACAGTGGTATACAGTATCATGGCCCCATGCAGTGCAAGGTCAGCAAGTTTATACTAGTTCAATGGGATCACATGAGCCAGTTTTTTATACCAATAAAATAGTCCTTACATACACTGATGACTTTATGATAAAGTAATTGATTGCATTATAATAGCTGTATTTACTGGATGAAATCGTGCACCTTGACATATTTTTAATTATATTTTTATTCAGCAAAAAATAAGCAAAAGAAAAAATTGTCAATTCATTATGCAAAAAAATCACTTAACATAAATTTCATATTCTCCAACAGGAACATCTTCATCGTGAGTCCCTTCATCACAGCATATCCTCATCTCAATATTATCAGTAGTAGAGTGAGTAAAAGATCTATAGAACCAAGGAATAAGAGTACGCTGACAACAAGTGGTCTCACTACTACCACAACCTTTACCATCCCATAATGGATCAGATGTATATGTAACAGAAAAAGAAGGAGAGTAATATTCTTCATAACCTGATTCACAGTAATAGTTTATGCCAATAAATGATGGAATACTTTCACCAGTATTACCACAAGGACAACGGTTATAAGATCCTCTGCCAGTACTACCACAAATAAATGTCCAGATATGTTTTCTAGGGTTACCATATGTTAGACTAATACCATCAATGTATGCCGAGTTTATGGTTCTATCAGATATTTTTCTCAAGGCTCCATCTGGAAATCCTTTTTGATATCCAATCACTTTACCACAAACTTGAGAGTATCCTATATCATCTGATGAAAATGTTATACTAGCACAGCCATAACTATTAGCTGGTCTACCACAAGCACGAGCTCCATTTTCTGAATAAGTTCCAAACGAAGTAGGACATTTCTCATTAGGATCAGTCATATTCAGACTAGCTATTCTTCTCCAGCTTCCTCCTTTACCACACAGAGTCTCCATGTGACAGTATACATGATGAGTATGTCCATTAACATCAGTTATATTATAATAACCTGAAGGACTGTTAGGCCACTTACTGAGGATAGCATCACATGAGGAGAGGAGAGGAGTCTCTTCACAATTTTCAGTCACATTAACATGTTCCTGCAGCAGTTGATATATCTTCTTAAGATCAGATGAGAGAGAAGACACTTGTGTTTGTAGTGAAGCTAATTGAGGCTCAATAGCATTCAGCCTGGCATCAGTTGCAGCAGTGGAGGTGTTCAATATTAGTTCCATGCATTTCAAAAGAGCTAATGTTTCATTGTTATTATTGTTCCCATTACATGACTTTTCTTTGCAGGATCCTACCATTTCCTTTAGCAGTGAGAGTTGAAAGATACTATTAAGACTCTCACTAACTCCATCTTTAAGCTGATCACTGATATTAGTCAGTGAATTCTCAATGAAAGACAAAGTAGTAGGATTAACACAAGTACCATCAAGTGCAGCAGATAATGAGGCAATACAAAGAACCAGTAGAATAGAATACATCTTCAACTGAATGGTTGTTTGTGATAGAAACACTCGACTACTTTTATAGCCACTAGTCGTTTAACATTAATAACTACAATAACCATACAACAAGTAAAATCATACGATACTATCTTCTCGAACCATTTCACCACTTCAAACCTATTACCATAATTACTACTAATGTTACAACAAACCTCAAATCTTGATAGAGCTCATACAATGACATGTTCTAAGTGGTAAACAACTCCAAAAACAAATTTTAACATCAATTAAGTTTGTATAATATCACGAATGCATTGTAGTTCTTTCCACTTTATAAAATATATAATTATTTTTGGAAGAATATAACTAAAATTTTTGAAACATTACAAACATACTTGAGTTTAAATTTTGTATAGTACAAATAAAATTTTGATGTGCCTTTATGCAGCTACTGCACTTTATGATCGTGCTCACTCAGCCTACACTGATTGATATAATTAATATTGACTATACTACACTTGCACACAAACTGCTGCATGCAATCAATAATGAATCCCTCCTCTTGCAAGCACCTATATGATTATTAGATCATAGTGGTCTTTATTTTTTTATTTAACAAAAGACAAAAACAATAGCAGAAAGACAACACACTTAACTACATAGTCCTCGCCTACACTAATTGCTGGTGAGGCCAAAAAGAAACAACTTATCAAAATAGGAAACAGTTGATTGCAAATATCACTTAATATAAATTTCATATTCTCCAACAGGAACATCTTCATCACTTGTTCCTTCATCACAGCATATCCTCATCTCAATATTATCAGTAGTAGAGTGAGTAAAAGATCTATAGAACCAAGGAATAAGAGTACGCTGACAACAATTGGTCTCACTGCTACCACAACCTTTACCATCCCATAATGGATCAGATGTATATATTTTAGGATCCCAAGGTGTCAGTGATCCTTCATATCCTGCTTCACAGTAATAGTGTGAACCAACAAATGATGGGGCAGACCAAGACTCCTGGGCAGACTGAGGCTTAGGAGTACCACAAGGACAACGACTATAAGATCCATTGCCAGTAGCACCACTCATAAGTGTCCAGATATGTTTCCTTGGACTACCATAAGTTAGACTAATACCATCAGTGTATGGTGAGTTTATATTACCTCCAGTTTGATGTCTATAAGATCCATCAGTGAATTTAAATTGATATCCAATCACTTTACCACATACTTGTGAATACTTTATATCTCTTGATGGAAATGTTATACCAACATAGCTACCACTATTAGTGACTGGTCTACCACAAGCACGAACACCATCTTGTGAATAAAATCTAAACTGAGTAGGACATTTCTCATTAGGATCAGTCATATTCAGACTAGCTATTCTTCTCCAGCCCCCTCCTTTACCACACAGAGTCTCCATGTGACAATATACATCATGAGTATGTCCATTAACATCAGTTATATTATAATAACCTGAAGGACTGTTAGGCCACTTACTGAGGATAGCATCACATGAGGAGAGGAGAGGAGTCTCTTCACAATTTTCAGTCACATTAACATGTTCCTCCAGCAGTTGATATATCTTCTTAAGATCAGATGAGAGAGAAGACACTTGTGTTTGTAGTGAAGCTAATTGAGGCTCAATAGCATTCAGTCTGGCATCAGTTGCAGCAGTGGAGGTGTTCATTATTAGTTCCATGCGTTTCAAAAGAGCTAATGTTTCATTGTTATTATTGTTCCATTACATGACTTTTCTTTGCAGGATCCTACCATTTCCTTTAGCAATGAGAGTTGAAAGATACTATTAAGACTCTCACTAACTCCATCTTTAAGCTGATCACTGATATTAGTCAGTGAATTCTCAATGAAAGACAAAGTAGTAGGATTAACACAAGTACCATCAAGTGCAGCAGATAATGAATAAGAGGTTATACAAAGAACCAGTAGAATAGAATAATAGCAATACATCTTCAAGTGATCGAGTGACTATTGAATGAAGACAACCTTACATTGTAAAACCATTTATAATGTAGGCAACATCTACAAACCTAACCTTTCCTTTATAAACAATTCCTCCTTCAACTATATCTTCCAATAAAGGGGTCAAGCTGACTATACAAACAAGACACCTCAAGTTATATAAAAGTCTTCTCTCATTGAGCAGGTCACTGACACTGATAAGGAACAATGCAGTGTAGCAAAGTACACTCATTTCCTGCTTTCACAAAAGTAATTGATAAAGTTAGTATGTCAATTAGAAACACAAAACTAAAATTACTTATGCCTATAGCACCAAAATTAATTATAACTTGACTAAAAATGTGCCAAACAAATCAACAAGTTTTAACTACTATACATGTATGTAGTAAAATTGATTATTGATTTACCAATCTTCACTTCACATAAATTTCATATTCTTTAATGAGAACATCTTCATTATTTGTTCCTTCATCACAGCATAACCTCATCTCAATATTATCAGTAGTAGAGTGAGTAAAAGATCTATAGAACCAAGGAATAAGAGTACGTTGACAGCAAGTCGTTTCAATGCTACCACAATCTTTGCCATCCCATAATGGATCAGAAGTATATAATGTGTTAAAGGATGCTTGTGTGTTGTGACATCCAGCTTCACAATAATAGTGAGAACCAACAAACAAAGGAACTGGATAAGGTGTATGACTACCACAAGGACATTGATTTTGATTAATATCTGTATATCCACTAATCAATGACCAGATATGTTTTCTTGGGTTACCATGTGTTAAACTAATACCATCAATGTATGCTGAGTTTATATCTCTGTTAGCATGATAGGCAGCAGCTCCATTTGGTTTTCCATCCTGATATCCAATCACTTTACCACATACTTCTGAATACTTTATATCTCTTGATGGAAATGTTATACCATCACAGCTACCACTATTAGTCACTGGTCTACCACAAGCACGAACTCCATTTTGTGAATAAGTTCTAAACTGAGTAGGACATTTCTCATTAGGATCAGTCATATTCAGACTAGCTATTCTTCTCCAGCCTCCTCCTTTACCACACAGAGTCTCCATGTGACAGTATACATGATGACTATGTCCATTAACATCAGCTAGATTATAATAACCTGAAGGACTGTTAGGCCACTTACTGAGGATAGCATCACATGAGGAGAGGAGAGGAGATGAAGGAGCCTCTTCTTCATCATCTAAAGTCACATTAACATGTTTTGCTAACAATCGAGACAACTTGTTAAGATCAGATGAGAGAGAAGACACTTGTGATTGCAGTGAAGTTAATTGAGGCTCAATAGCATTCAGTCTGGCATCAGTTGCAGCAGTAGAAGCATCTATTTTCAGCATCTTAGTGTCAAGATTTGTAGTAGAGGTGTTCAATATTAGCTCCATACGTTTCAAAAGAGCTAATCCTTCTTCATTGCTATTACATGACTTTTCTTTGCAGGATCCTACCATTTCCTTTAGGAGTGAGAGTTGAAAGATACTAGTGACACTATGAAGATTGTCACTAGCTCCATCTTTAAGCTGATCACTGATATCAGTTAGTGAATTCTCAATGAAAGACAAAGTAGTAGGATTAACACAAGTACCATCAAGTGTACTACTGGCAGATAATGAATAAGAGGTCAGACAAAGAACCAGTAGAATAGAATACATCTTCATTCCTCACTGTAATGAAACTGTGAGACGAAACACTCATACAGACTTATTTATGGTCACTGCATCTCTTTGTCTCATAATTACCACAATTAATGGATTGTGCAGACAGTATGACAAGACATGTTAGCCCCTTATAGCCTCAACATTCTAAACCACATTAATGAAGAGAGGTTGTTATTATCACTATACTGGTTATAGCAACCAATATAGTAATAGTCCTCTCTCATTGAGCTGAGTGATAGAGAACAATGCACCATTCACATAGCAGACAATAATAATGCATATGCCTTTACCAAGTCATAACAACTCAAACAGCCTGTATGTACTATTATTGTAGCATACATGTAATTCTAATCATAATAAAATTAAAATAGCAAATTAATTGTGTCCTACAAAATGTTCCAATAGTAATTGGTACACTTTAAATTCGTCACTTAACATAAATTTCATATTGTCCGAAAGGAACATCTTCATCATTTGTGCTTTGGTCACAGCATAACCTCATCTCAATATTATCAGTAGTAGAATAACCAAAAGATCTATAGAACCAAGGAATAAGAGTACGTTCACAACAAGCAGTTTCAGTACTACCACAACCTTTACCATCCCATAATGGATCAGAACAATATAATGTAGTATAGGATGCACGTGCAGTGTGACAGCCAGATTCACAATAATAGTGAGAACCAACAAATGATGGAACAAATTTAGGGTCTGAACTGCCACAAGGACAACGAGTCTTCTGACTGGACTGTCCACTAACTAGTGTCCAGATATGTTTCCTTGGGTTATCATGTGTTAGACTAATACCATCAATGTATGATGAGTTAATATCCTTGCTAGAGAGAAATCCAAATGATCCATCTGTTGTTCCATGTTGATATCCAATCACTTTACCACATACTTGTGAATACTTTATATCTCTTGATGGAAATGTTTTACCAACACAGCTACCACTATTAGTCACTGGCCTACTACAAACACGGACTCCATTTCCTGAATAAGTTCTAAACTGAGAAGGACATTTCTCATTAGGATCAGTCATATTCAGACTAGCTATTCTTCTCCAGCCTCCTCCTTTACCACACAGAGTCTCCATGTGACAGTATACATGACGACTATGTCCATTAACATCAGCTAGATTATAATAACCTGAAGGACTGTTAGGCCACTTACTGAGGATAGCATCACATGAGGAGAGGAGAGGAGATGAAGGAGCCTCTTCTTCATCATCTAAAGTCACATTAACATGTTTTGCTAACAATCGAGACAACTTGTTAAGATCAGATGAGAGAGAAGACACTTGTGATTGCAGTGAAGCTAATTGAGGTTCTATTTTGTTAGCAATAGATGCATTGATGCGATTCAATAGATTCCTTTCTTCTTTATCACATGACTTATCCTTATAATCTTTTGCTAGTTCCTTTACTAATGCTAATTGAAGGAGACCAGTTAGTCCTTCAGTAGTAGCGCCATCTGATGAACAGGATGATCCTTTAAGCTGATCACTGATATTAGTCAGTGAATTCTCAATGAAAGACAAAGTAGTAGGATTAACACAAGTACCATCAAGTGTATTACTGGCAGATGATGAATAAGAGGTAATACAAAGAACCAGTAGAATAGAATACATCTTCAGCTGAATGGTTGTTTGTGATGAAAACGCTCAACTACTTTTATAGCCATTAGTCGTTTAACATTAATAACTACAATAATCATACGACAAGAAAATCATACGATACTATCTTCTCGAACCATTTTACCACTTCAAACCTATTACCATAATTACTACTAATGTTACGACAAACCTTAAATCTTGATAGAGCTCATACAATGACATGTTATAAGTGGTAAACAACTCCAAAAAAACAAATTTTAATATCAATAAAGTCTGTATGATATCAGTGAATGTACTGTATAGTTCCTTCCGATACTTAGTTGTTGAAAATTTTCAAAACATATCTGGAGTTTAAAATATTTTGCAATACAAATAAAATTTTTTCGATGGGCCTATATGCAGCTACAAAATTTATCCTTTATGCTCATACTCTTTCAATCTCTACACTTTACACTAATTAATCTAATTAATATTTACTATACTATACACACACACACACACACACTGTTGCATGCAGTAAATAAAGAGTCCCTCCTTCCTCCTTTAGTCTTCTTTAATATAATCTTAGTTTTAGCAATTTAGCATGGCATTTTGTGCAAGCACTTATACACTTATATGATAGTATAGTAATTAAGATGGTGTTGCTTATAATAAGCAATGCAAATGTGCAAATATGTACATTGCATGTGATGATATTAGTTAAGTAATGTGATGTTGAAAGTTATACAGTAATGCAACTAGATTGAGCACACTAGCTATTATTATTAGATTGTTTATTTTCTTCTATTTCTATTTAACAAAAGCAAAAACAATAGCTGAAAAAAGAAAAATTTATCAAAATAGGAAACAGTTGCTTGCAAATATCACTTAACATAAATTTCATATTCTCCAACAGGAACATCTTCATCGTGAGTTCCTTCATCACAGCATAACCTCATCTCAATATTATCAGTAGTAGAGTTAGTAAAAGACCTATAGAACCAAGGAATAAGAGTACGCTGACAACAATTGGTCTCACTACTACCACAACCTTTACCATCCCATAATGGATCAGAATAAAATTGAGAATGCAATGGAAATGTAGGACCTTCATAACCTGATTCACAGTAATATCTTGAGCCAACAAATGATGGCGCAGACCGAACATCAGTAGTACCACAAGGACAACGATTTTCAGATCCACTACCAGTAGTACCACAAATGAATGTCCAGATATGTTTTCTTGGATTACCATGTGTTAGACTAACACCATCAGTGTATGGTGAGTTTATAGTAC